CACATGTCCCCCACCCCCATGTCTGCACACTGAGTCTCTGTCCAGGCAGCACATTCTGTGGAGACTGAGCTTGGATCCTGGTGGGTGTTGGGCTGAGCCTTTAAGGAGGTGATGAATGGGAGGGGGTCACCTGGCAGACAGTGCAACAGATGAGAGATCAGAAGACCCAGAACTCTGAGCATCATTATCCAGTTTTCCAGGATGGATGGTTTTGACTTTGCTACCTGCTTGTCCTTGTAAGTTGTACAGAACAGACCAGAAGTTAAGAGCATGAATCCTGGGTTAGCCTGCCTGGGTTCAAAGCTTGGCTCTACCGCTTGCGAGTTATATGACCTCAAGCACCAACTAGCTGTGTACCCTCTTCGAGTCTTAGTTTCCTCATTTGTCAAATGCAGGTGCTAATAGTGCCTCCCTTATAAAAACTGGTATACAACAGTTGCTATAAAAGGTACAAGCTGTTATCATCACATCTAACCGGTCAAGGGGCCCTGTCCGTCTTCCTTTCCCTTGTTCTCACATTTCCCTTTGCTGCCCGCTGCCACTGTCTCCGTCAGGCCTTCATGACTCCATTCCTTCATCCCGTAAACATTTATGAAGCTCCCATGATGTGCCCCACACTAGACCAGAGCTTGGGGATGAAAAGCTAAAACCCAGCCCCTGCCTTCGGGGGGATCAGGGTTCAGGGGATGCTCCACAGAGAGCTTCGGGCTGCAGTTCTTGGGGCACACAAGTCTGGGAAGGGCATTCCAAGCAGGGGGAATGGCATGTGCAAAGCACTGCCACCAGAGTGAGTGTCCTAAAGCACAAATTTGATCAAGTCATGTAAGTTATGTCCTGGTTCAAGAACCTGTTTCTAGAGCCCTGTTAACTCACTGTACTCAATATCACAGTCAACATAAAGCCCTTTGCTTGGGTTTCAGGCCTCCCAAAATCTGCCTTCCGACACCCTCCTTAGTGCCAAGCTGGGGGACTTAGTGCCAATCTTCTCTTCTGTAAAGGGATAGAGCTATCATGGAACTTAAATGATTATGTGTATCCAGCAGGTGCTTGGTAAGTGAGCCCTCCTCCCACACGAAGGCTGCTTGGTCTGGTTCACTTTATTTCTAGTTGTGCAGGAGGCAGCCCCACGCAGAGTTCAGAGTGCTGGTCCTGGAGGCGTGGGACCCAGATTCCCGGCAGAGCAATTTCTCGTCCTGGCTTTGCCTCCAATGCAGGACTCTTGTGCCTTTTCCAAGGGGATCCTTCCTTTATTTCTGCATCTGCAAAATGAAATGCGGAATTTCTCAATAGGGGGCACTATGGACATGTGGGGGGAAGGAATATCCCAGGCAGGGTACAACAATCTAGCATCCCAGCAGCCCCACCTCTCCCAAACATCGAGGCAACCACCCCTCGTATTTACGGTCCCACCCTCCCTGCCCCTTTCATGATCCTTTCCAGCTCTTACCTTCTAGCAATCACTGACTCCTCGATTCTCTGATGCTTCCAGGGGACTCTGCTTTGTGCAGAGTCCCTCAAACTAGAGGAGTTTGAGGCACACATAAGGCAGGAAGCAGGAAGCCAGTGAGAGACTCCTGGTGGGAGCAGGGAGAGCCCAGGCTCACATTTGGTTCTGCCACTTACCACTGGCTGTGTGATGCTAGGAAAGCTACATAATCTCTCTGAGCTCCAATACTAGACTCACTTGGAAAATGAGCGGTGGTGGTAAAAGTACCTACCTCATAGTGCTGTTATGAAGGTTAAATAAGATAATAAATGTAAAGCACAGACCCTAGCATGTAATGAAATAATAAAAGGTTTATTGGGTCTTCTTGGGCAAAATTGAACTCTCTCAATTTTCTCATCAAATAAGGATAATAGTGCCACCCCCCAGGAATGTAGTGAGACCAAAGTCGATAATGCACACCCATGCCTGGCATGCAGCTGGGCCTCAGCACAGCACATAACTAGTGGGAGTGTAAATGGCTCAGCACCTTTGGAGGTCCGTTGGTCACATCTTTTAAAATTACAAATGTGCATTCCTCTTGTACCAGTAATTCTATCTCTAGCTATTTTTCATACAGTTATATTTCCAAGTGTGTAAAATAACTTATGAACAAGATTTATATTAGTAAGTGATTGGAAATAACTCAAATTTCCATTCACTGAGAACTAGTTAAATAAATTATGGGACATAAATACACTGGAATACTATATAGCTTTAAAAAGGAATTAGGAAGTTCTTTCTGTACTCACACAGAAAGATCTCCAAGACATTTTGTTCTAGAGAAAAAGAATGTTCTGGAAGGACTGCATTTTATGTGCTTGTCTGTGCATAGACTATCTCTGGAAGGACTCATAGCAGATCAGTGACAGTGGCTGTTGTCTTCAGAGAGGAAAGCTGGGGCACAGGAAAAGAGGAAGGCTTTTGTGGATTTGAAACCATGTGCCTATAAAAGCTATTGATATGTACAAAGCCAGAAACTATAATAAGGCCAGGTCTGAAGTGAGCTCTCTACGCTGAGGGGATGATGTGAGGCTTGGCTCCCCAAGTCTCAGCATATGGCCTGTTGCTCTTGCCATCAGCACACACTTGCAGGGGCTGAGACGGGGGCTCAGCTGGGGACCAGGAAGTGCTGCACCACCTTGGGGCAGGCAGCAGCTCGGTCCAACCCTGGCACTTTGGGAGGCCACTTTCCCTCAAGGGTTTCCACGTGTCTGCATGTAAACTGGGACTGTGGTACCAAGTGCCTGACTGCTCTGCCTGGGACTGTGCCACCCAAGGGTTCTATGAGTGTGACTGGCAAGGGAGAAAATACCACAGATGGCCCTAGCCCTGTGCCTCTGCTCTCTGCCTAGAGCAAAGGAGCTGCTGCTGTACCTCTGAAGGCATGAGGTTTCCGTCTCTGAAGCAAGGTCCAGCCCCTCAGAGGGAAAAGAGGGAGACGGATGGAGATGGAGAGTCTGTGGAGTCAGACAGACATGGCTTCAAATCCCAGCTGGGCCGCTCACCTGCCGTGTGGTCTGGGGCAAGGCATTTAGCCTCTACTGGCCTCAGTTTCCACATCTGTAACATGGGCACAATCACACTCACTTCTCAGGTGCTTTGAAGAGCGAAGGTAGGCTAGGCACAGTGGCTCATCCCTGTAATCTCAGCACTTTGGAGGCCGAGGCAGGAGGATTACTTGAGGACAGGAGTTTGAGACCAACCTGGGCAACATAGCAACACGCCACCTCTACCAAAAATTTAAAAATTAGCCAAACGTGGTGGCTCATGTCTTTAGTTCTAGCTACTTGAGAGGCTGAGGTGGAAGGATCTCTTGAGTCCAGGAATTGAAGGTTGTGGTGAGCTATGATTGCATCACTGCACTCCAGTGTGGGTGACAAAGTGAGATGCTGTCTCAAAAAAAAAAAAAAAAAAAAGAAAAAAAGAACAAAGGTACATTTGTAAAGTGCATTAGCACAGAGTAATAACTGAGGGAAGGATTTGGGTGCAAGTAGTTTATTGGAGAGTGATCCTGGGGAGCACTGGGTAGGGAAGCCGGGGCAGGAAGGAAGACAGTGAAAGGTGTGGGAATGAGCAGTTAGCCTCCTGGGCACAGGGCTCAATCCTGCTGTACCTCTGTGGGGCTGTGCAGAACAAGCCTCAGAGCTATCTCAGAGGGACTGCTGGGGTATTTATATGCCAACTCCCTACAGTTATCAGGTTGAGGGCTACTCTGAGTCATTTAAACTCCTTGTACTTCCAGCCTGCCTGGAGCTCAGGGCAAGGACACTGGCGTGACAGGGTAGGAGTGTGGGAATCAAAGAAACGTATCAGGCAGGGCAGAGAACCACAGGTGCTTGGAGTTCAAGAGCCAGGCATGGGACTAGTGAGTGCCAGGGGTATAAAGACAGAGCACCAATGTCCCTGCCACAAGTGCTTTGGCATGTGCCAGGCACCATTTTCAGCACTTTTAAAATGTTAACTCACTTAATTCTTACTACAACACAATGAGGTGGATGAAGACAGAGGCATAGGAAAGTGAAGAAACTTGCCCAAGTTTACCCACCTAGAAGGAGAAGTCAGGGTTTTAACCAAGGAAGTCTAGTTTATCGGGTCTAAAGGGCCTTAGAGACCGTGTAGGTCAATATCTTCATTTCATGGTGAGGAAATCAAAGACCAGAGAGGGCAAGCAATTTATCTAAAGTCACACAGCTAGCTAGCGACAGGACTAGGACTTGAACTTAGATCTCTGTTCATTCCTTGACACGCCCCCTGCTTAGCCTTAGCCTTTTCTGCTCTGGGTTGCCAGACTCAGGTGGGGCTGGGGTGTGGGAGGTGGCTTTCTGCAGAGCACTGGGTGCTGCAGTGCGGAAGCCAGGAGGCCATTAATCGGCCGGGAAGGCGGGCATAGCACAATCAGATTATGATCTTTAAGATGCATGCTTTGAATCTCAAAATCAGCCAAGGAATCAGGCCCCAGAGGAGGTGTGTGTCATCTGTCCCTGCTTTTTAACCCCAGGCTGGCATCAAAGAGGAAAAGATGAGCCTGGCTCACTAGGGTGTGAAATTTCCTTTTTGTCTCCTGGGGTGGGGAGGGAAAGATGAGAAATCGCGCCGCATCCCATGTGTAATTATAGGCTCTACAATGTCTTGAGGATTATGTTGCTCAAAGAGACTCAGTGGGCTCTGGGTGGTATCTCTGGGCCCCGGTGGACATGCCTCTCAGTAGACTAAGGGAGACTAGGAGTGGGGTGTGTGTGTGTGTGTGTGTGTGTGTGTGTGTGTGTGTGTGTGCATGTGTGTGGATGAATGCAAGGAGAAAGCACAACTGACAAAATGTAAATTAACTCTTGCAGCTTCATATTTTTCAGAAAAGTCAGAGCAGGGGCTGGCTCTCTCCGCCCAGAGACAACCTTCTAGAATCTTTGCCCTTGAGTTACCCAGAGGTGTCCTTGCCAGGCTCTTAGCAGGTTGCTGCGGACATGTCTGGCAAGACAAAGGTGACCAGCTTGTTCCTGTTTTCTCGGGATTGCCCAGTTTTAGCAATGAAAGTCCCATGTCACAGGAAACCGCTCAGTCCTGGACAAATCGAGATGGTAGGTCACCCTAGGCATGAACCTTCAGTCCCTACCCCGGCCAACCCTGGACCAAGAGAAGCCAGCTGTGTCAGAAGACTGGGCTGGTGGTGGCTGGATAAGGTCACGGGCAAGTGCAGGCCGTCCAGCCAGGTTCCAAATCCGTCTCTAATTCTCGTCTTGGGATCCCCTGCCTTTATCTGACTGCTCCCTCAAGTAAGGTCGCACCCCAGTCAGGGGCCCTTCCTGCTCTGGGACGCGGGGGTTCATGATTCCCTCATGGGTCTGGTGGGTCTGGCTGGCAGAGCTGTGTGCCTGGGGTGAGGAGAGGGCAGGACCAGGGCTGAGGCCAAGCTATAAGTGCTGTGCAACTTGGGAAAGTCCTTTTCCTTCTCTGGGCCTCAGTTTCATAAGAAGGGGTTACGCTGAGAGATTGCTGTTTTTTTGTGGGGGGGAGGGGAAAGATTTATGTTTAAATTATGAAAGTAATACAATTGTTAAAAAAATTTAACAGTACATAACAGTAAGATGAGAGGTTAAAGTCCCTTTCTGCTTCTCCGTATCCTGTGGGACAACCATTGCTAACAGTCTCTTTTTATCTTTCCAGACATTTTCTATGCATATGCAAGCATGTGAGTATATATAGCCTTTATTTAAAATGTAACACAAATGAGACTGTACTTTACATGCTATTCTGCAACTTGCTTTTTCTGTTTAACAATATATCCTGGACATCTTTCCATGTCCCCATACACATAAATCTCCCTCATTCTTGCTGCAGAATGTTCTGCAGGAAGGATGCACTCTGGCTTGTTTAACCAGAACTGCTGGTTTCCAAGGTCCCTACTAGCTCAGAGCCCACCACCTAGGCAAAAGGAAAAGCTGGAGGTGGGTGTGGAACAGGGCTGGGGAATATCAGCAGATTCTCAGACTAGGAAGCCTGGGTGTCTGCCCCAGCTCTTCAATGAGGGACGTAAAATGATTTAGAGATGGGTGAGGAGGAACCAGTAACTCCTGGATCCGGGGAATTAGGCATGGGGTGGGGGCGGGGGCTTCTAAAGATACTCAGAACACCCTGCCTGGCACCGAGGTGGGGCCGCAGACACAAGGCTCTCTGCTGATGCAATGTGAGGGGGCTGCCGCCCCTAGTAAGTTTCTCCGTTTCTTTGTCTTTCCTGAGACAGGCTCATGATTATTGCCTTCTAGGTCACCAGGAGCAGAGCACAGAGGAACAACACAGCTTTTGCGCTTCCAGCTGGCTCCCATCAAGAAGTTAGAAGGGAGCCTGCAAACACGTTTCCTGCTATCATCTCTCCACCCCAGAATGACTTTCCCTGGCAGAACTGGGGGAGGGGAGACGAGCAGCAGGCCCCCAGGAGGCCCTGGGCAGGAATATTAATACCCCAACTTCCCAGCACAACAGGAGGGAGGAGGAGCGGCCATGGCACAGTCAGGTCCTGGGGACCCTGGAAGGTGGTTGCTGAGCAGCTCGTGGGAGGCACGGATCCTCCAGCTCACGGCGGCAGGGGCCGCCCAAGTCCTAATGAACACATCTAGCTCCTGGCAGGGCGCAGCCGACACATCGCCCGGCCTTCTCGGCCACCTGGGAGAGGATGGGCGCCGCACGTGGATACCCAACCTGCAGGGCTGTGCGCGCAGTGACATCGCTTTTCTCCCGGCAGGTGCATCCATCTCGCTGGGTCTGGATAGATAATACAATCTCTCTGCCCACACCCCATTTGCTGGGAGACAGCCTGGGCTTCTCCATTTTTTATGGGCTCACTTAGCTTGGAGGAAATCCAGAGGTCAAAGCCGGCGCAGACGCTCAAGTCACCTTGCCCGTCCGGGCGCGCAGCCCTTCCGAAACGGGCTCACCCACGGGGCCCTAAATTACGGCGATTACACTGCAATTCGCAGCGCGATATTACTTTGATACACTACCTGCTGCAGCCTGGCCCGGGAGGCGTGCATTATTTACCAGGGAGGCTGTTCGTGCTGCGCACCAGAGCCAACAGCGCTCCACGGGGTCCCTCCTGTCCCTACAGACCCGCCCGCGGTGCGGGGTCTGGAGGCGCCGGGGCGCGGGGAGGGGCATTGGAGCAGCCCCGCTCTCTCGGAGTGACCCTTTCCTGACCGCAATATAGCCCGGAGAGGACTCAGGGGCAGAAGCGGCAGCTGGCGATGAGGTTGGGGGTTGGTAGGTGGGAACAAGTGCTGAGCCCGCAGCTCCTCCTGGCTCTTAAGGACACCCAGACCCTCCTTAGCCGGCCTGTAAGGGCCTTTGTTGGGCGCGCGCTGGGAACCACACAGAGGGCCTGCCCAGGGGTGCAAGACTGGTCCCCGGCCCCTGGCCGACTGTTAATACGGCTAGCAGCCGGCTAACCCCATCGGCAGGCTCGAGGATTTAGCCTGTGGCAGCTGGTGGTGGAGATGGAGGGAACTCAGGCTCTTTTCCTCCGGCCCTGGAAGCTGAGTCCGCTTCAGCTGAGGCCTGATTTCGTCCTAGCTGGGGGCTGGGGCCGAGGCCGAGTTGGTCCCGGCTTCTCTCCGGCTTCCCCATTATGGCTTGGCATCAGCATCTAGATTGCAGGTTACTTCTGCTTTTATCCAAAGCGGTCCTTAAGGGAGATGGATTTCTGATTGAAATCCAGTCAATTGGCGCCGTGGCTCAGAGGGCCCAGCGTGAGCACACTTGTAGGGAAATTGCCCTGGGTCTGAGAGGAGGGGCAGGGGTGGGGGAGGGGACAGGACCCTCAGGCCCTGTTCTGGAGCCTGTGATCGCGCTGCTGCGAGGACTTTAGCTGATGTGCTCAGGTCGGTATCCGCGGGAGTCCTGGAGGGAAATCCGCTCTCCTTCTCCAGCTCCCTGGGATTGATGGAACCAGAAACCTCAGGCAAGGGATCCCCAGAGGTCACTGCCTCCAGTCTCCAGCCTCAGACAGTGTCTGGGTAGTGGAGGAGGGGCCCAGTCTGTGGGACGGAGCTGTCTGCTTTGGTGGGTGAAGGAGGGTGGACTTCAGGGGTCTGGGTTCAGATGTGGATTAGTTCCAGAACTAGTTCCTGTTCCTCGCAGGCGGGGAGAGGTCATGGTCTGTGCTGAACACGTCTGGCTGTGTTCAGTCCTGAACTGCCCTGGTCTCCTCAGCAGTGTGCGTAGAGGTCTGGCCTCCAAGTTTCTTGTTAACAGCCCATCAGGAACTGGAGGAGCTGGCCTGGCCTTCACGGTGTGGAGGGGCTCCTGGAAGGAAGCAGATGGGCACAGGGAGGAGAAGAATGACAAATCCATGCTTCCGCAGTTCTCGGGAAAGAATATGGTAGTGGGAAGGAAGCATGGGGACCATGCATCCCAGGAATGCTTCTGGTATCCCAGAAATGTCAAGAGCTCATTCTGCCAGCTCTTCCTGGGCCAGCAAAGAACATATATATCATTTCTCCATCCACTTTGGGACCTGCCTGAGATGAACATATGTTTTAAAAGGAATCCCAATTGCTGTAGGAGCAGATGGTGACACAGGGGCAGGCAAGGGCAGGAGAAAGAATACTGGCTGGCAGCAGGGTAGGAGTCCTGGGCTCTGCCTCACCCCTTCCTCTTACCAGCCGTGTGAGCTGTGTGGCTGTGGGCAAGTCACACCCTGGCTCTGTGCTGTTCCATTTTCCTTGTGAAGAATGAGTGGGTCGCCTGTAGCACGCAGGATGAGCTGAGGCCTCGCTCCCCTGCAGTGGAGAGGAGAGAACACTCTCTCCATTGGCAGGGAAGACTGATTTTCCTGCTTATTAGCCTGTTCAACTGGCAGACACGGGGACTGTCCTCTAGGCCATGGGGTGGGGAAGAGGAGGACAGATCCCCACACCAGCCACCGCTGTGTCCATCCTCTGTCTGTGGCTGTTTGCCTGACTGATTTGTTTGGCGGCCTCCCTGGCTGGGATTGGGTTCCTGTGTCCTCCTGCACATTTGCCTCTGGTCCCTCTCTGTGTGGTCAGGAGGGGGAGCTCTAGGTGTAGGGGCGGAAGAGACCAGAACATCTATCCATCATGGACTGACTCTTGGGCTTGGTAATGATCTTAACAGCCGCCTGGTCTGACCACCACCTTGTGCTCCAGACCCCTCTCAAGAAGCACCCCCGCCCCCGCAGTGGAAGGCTCACTGCCTCTTGCTGAGCCACTCCCAGAAAGTTCACCCTTTTCTGGATCCCAAGTCGCGTCCCTTGTGTCATCTCTCATTCATCCTAGCTCTTCTTGTTGGCCTAGGTGTGAACTCTATGCCTACAGGACCGCCCTTCAGATGTTTCAGGGCAGTGATCTTGTCCACCCTCCACTCCACCTTCTTGGGGCAAAACCTGCCCAGTATCCTCCCTGCTGCTCCCCAGTCCCCTCACGCTCTAGCTCTGACAAGAACTGATTGAGCTTCCAGTCAGATGTCAGAGGCCCTGGTCTCCAGGAAGCTTCTAGTCTGGGAGATAGTCTTCCTAGGACCTAAAGAATGAATAACAAAATCACACAAGCATTTGGGACTCTTGGATTTCCAACTGGCATGGCGGCTGGTCTGGAAACCTCCTCAGAGGTGAGTGGGTTCAGTCGTCTTCCAGGGAGAGAAGTCTCCCTGTTCTCTCTGAAACAGCCATGCCCCCCCTCCTCAGAGACCGTGGGACTACTGGGTGCCCTGATGGGGCTGGTGTCTGCTCCGGGGAGAAGTGGAAGAGAATGCTCTCCAGTTCTTCCCACCTCCATCCCCATCCATCCTGGTGTGGGCACCCACAGGCGTGGGTACCACAGAAACCTGAGGTCCAGGGGGAAGCCTGCCACAGTAGGGAAGCCACCTCAGCATCTTCGGTCCCCAGGGCACCTACTTTCCCTGCTGACTTCCAGAAGGTGTTCCCAGAGGGGCTGGTCTATGCTGCAAGAGCGGGTCTGCCACATCTAGGCTTCCACCCCGCCCCCAGCTCTTAATTTATTATTAACTCTGGAACTGACTTTGAAATTATGGAAGACCATGTTGTTTCTTTCCTCTGCATCTCTTATGGTCCCCAAGGGGAGGTGAGCTGAGAGTGCCAGATACACAAATATGCAGCAAAAACCCTGTGGATTTTTGGTTCTAGCAAAGGGAAGGAAATTAGCTGTAATAAGCCGTTGCCACCTCACTGGAAAGCCTCCAGGACAGACCCTCAGAGAGGCTCCTGGTCCCCCTTCTTCTGCTCTCCCCACTTCCCAGCTGCATGGCTGGAGATCGCTGTCTTCAGGTTCCCCTGCAGGGCAGCTGCCTCCTCCCCACCCAGTCCTGTGACCTCACTGATGGAGATGATCAATATCCTGGGCCTGTGAGGAGGAGGAGGCTGCAGACACACAGAGAAGCGGTCCCTGGCCTTTCCCCGAGCCATTAGCTTGAATGGTGGTAGGAGAGGCAGGTGGGAGTCAATTTCCATTCTCCTAGAATTATTGGAAGGCAGAGGGTTATTTGGAAGTTTCTGAAAGGTGTGAGGTATTCATTGGCCCTCGCATAAAAGGATCAGTAGGCGTCTGGTCTTTCCTCTTTCCTCTCCTGAGGAGAGCCAAGGGCTAAAACTCTTAAGTGACTACCCCACAGCAGCAGCTGCACTTAGGCAGAAAATAGCCCTGGGCTGTGACTGGAGCCCTGGAAGGAATTGGTTCTAGCGCTTTGCAGGTTAACTTGGCCCATCCTGATCTGGCATTGGGCTTCTCTCTGGCTTCTAATGCAAAGAACATAACTCAATCAAATGGTAGACGTGACGTTAAGCATTCATTGAATTGAGTGGTTAGGTTTCCCCATAATTTGCTGGGTGACCTCTGGTGAGTCACCTAACCTCTCTGGGCTTCACATACTTTATATGTAAAATGACAGCGGGGGTGAGATGAGTGTACCATTTCTGAGACCCAGGAGTAATCATGCTGGGACACATGTTTTATAACCATGGGCCAAATGCTCTTTCCATCATGTCCACCAGCCAAAATATTGGGCCATCTTCTGTAGCCTCACTTGCCGATAATGCTATTACATGGAAGGTTTTACAGCCAACAGGACAGTCATGCACTTTCACTACTAATAATTATCTTTGTGATTTAAAATTTTAGCAATAAGATGGATTCTTACTATATTGCTATGTATTAGTCTGTTCTCATATTGCTATAGAGAACTACCTGACACTAGGTAGTTAATAAAGAAAAGAGGTTTCATTGACTCACAGTTCTGCAGGCTGTACAGGAAGCATGGCTGGGAGGCCTCAGGAAGGTGAAGGGGAAGCAAGCACCTCTTCACATGGTGGCAGGAGAGAAAGGGCAAAGGGGGAAGTGCCACACACTTTTAAACAACCAGATCTCATAAGACAGTACTAGGGGGATGGTGCTTAATCATTAAAAACCACCCCTATGATCCAATCACCTCCCACCGGGCCCCACCTTCAACACTCAGGATCACATTTCAACATGAGATTTGGGTGGGGACACACAGCCAAACCATACCATACTGTATATTTTTACTTTTTAAACAATTTCCTAAGATTTTTCCCTTGGAGAGACAACAGGCTGTAAGAGTGAAGAGTGTGAGCCCAAGAGCCTGTCTGCCTGGATGTGAATCCTGGCTCTGCCACCTACCAGCTTTGTTAATTTGAGGGTGCCCCTTCACTTCTCTGCGCCTCCGTGTCCTCATTTTAAAGTGGGACAAATGGCCAGGAGTAGCGGCTCATGCCTGTAATCCCAGCACTTTGGGAGACTGAGATGGGTGGATCACCTGAAGTCAGGAGTTTGAGACCAGCTTGGGCAACATAGTGAAACTGTCTCTACTAAAAATACTGTAGTCCCAGCTATGTCGGGAGGCTGAGGCAGGAGAATTGCTTAAGCCCAGGAAGTGGAGGTTGCAAGGAGCTGAGATTGCGCCACTGCACTCCAGCCTGGGCGACAGACTCAAACTCAAAAAAAAAAAAAAAAAAAAAAGTGGGGAAA